TATATATGCTGACTTCATTAATATTTTCTTTAAGCTTTTTCTATTCCTCTTCATAAGGGATTTACTTGTACTTTTTCTTTCTGTTAATAACTTTGTTGAGTTTTGTTTTGGTAAGGTTACACTGGCCTGGTAACATGGCCTTCAGTTTATTCTCCTGTAAAATGGATTAAATATCTCTTTCAAGGTCCTTTCCTCTTCTAACATTATGGGAACTTAGCTCCTTTTAATCTGTTCTCTGGAAGAATTGTGTGTGATTGGATTTTTTATTCTTTTAACTATCTCTTTTGAAGTTAATATTCTAGTTAGTGAGTTTGACAGTAAATAGGATAAAGTAAAACACATAAGTATAAATAATAGTTTACTGGCTCTGAGCAACTAGAAGAATGTATTAGTCTTTCACTGAGATAGGGATACCATCGAGACAGGTTCTTTTATGATGGAATATCAGGATGTTGGTTTTGGATATGTTTTGATTGAGATGCCTATTAGGCATCCAAGTACATATATAAAGTAGACAGTTCTATATGTTGGTCTGAAATAGGGAGTGGTCCATTCTGGAGATAGAAATTTAGGAGTCATTTCATGACCTGAAAGAGAATACCAAGGGAGCCAGTGTTGATGCAAAAGAGAAAAGGTGGAAGGACCAAACCATGAAATACAAAGATCAATACATCAGAAATGGGGGGCAGGGCCCTGGTGGCAGGGGAGGTCCCCCATGGGGCCAAGGGAAAATTTTTTTTAAGAGAGGAAGGAAAAAAAGAGGGATCAGGAATATCCACCCAAAGAGACTGAGAAGGCCCAACTAGAAATGTAAAAGAAAAATAAGTATAGTAATCTGGAAGCACAGGAGAGAGTTGTCAGAAGTGTTACCTGCTTCTATTAGGAAACATGAGTTAGGATTGAATAATGACCATTATGTTTAGTAATATGGGGGATATTTCAATTTGCAATTTATTTGGAAGAATAAAATTTCTTGAAAAAAGCCAAGGAAAGTGTGGAGTTATGACTGGATCTTGCCGCTACCAAATATCAGAACATACTATATTTATCCTATATAATTAGATCGATGTTCAGTTGATATAGCAGTGGACAAAGAGACCACAGTTGAAAACCCAGAAGGTTATTTAAGTGAATATAAACATTTATTATATAATAAACATAGTTTTCTGTAGAATGAGAAGGATGAATTAATAAATGGGGCTAGCCCAACTAGATATTCATTTGGAATAAAATAAAATGAATCCTGTAAATATTAAAGACTTAAATGTTAGAAATAAAGCAATAACCATTTTGCAAAAAATATATATATATAATAGACCACGTATACAATGTCTGGGTTCAAAACTGTGCCAAAACCTCATATCCTAAAAACGAAAAAGGAAATTGACAAGAAAACAACAAACATGGAATAGAAAAATGGGTAAGAGCCCTAGCCGGTTTGGTTCAGTGGATAGAGCATCAGCCTGTGGACCGAAGGGTCCCAGGTTCATTTTCAGTCAGGGGTTTGTACCGCGGTTGCAGGCTCCTCCTGGCCCCAGCCCTGGTAAGGGTGCATGCAGGAGGCAACCAATTGATGTGTTTCTCTCACATGATATTTCCCTCTGTCTTTCCCTCTCTCTTCCACTCTCTCTAAAAATCAATGGAGCCCTAACCGTTTGGCTCAGTGTATTGAGCGTCGGCCTGCAGACTGAAGGGTCCCAGGTTTGATTCCGGTCAAGGGCATGTACCTGGGTTGCGGGCACTTCCCCAGTGGGGGATGTGCAGGAGGCAGCTGATCGGTGTTTCTAACTCTCTATCTCTCTCCCTTCCTCTCTGTAAAAAATCATCCCCAGTAGGGAGTGTGCAGGAGGCAGCTGATCCATGTTTCTCTCTCATCAATGTTCCTAACTATCCCTCTCCCTTCCTCTCTGTAAAAATCAATAAAATATATTTTAAAAAAATAAATAAAAGTCAATGGAAAAATATCCTCTGGTGAGGATTAAAAAAGAAAATAGGTAAGAAGTGTGAACAAAGAGTTTACCGAACAAATTAATTGGCCAAAAGACTTACAAAAAGTGTTTAAGTTTCTTAGTAGTCAGAAAAATAAATCAATGAATATTGATCTTTGGTAGAAAAAAAAAAAGAAAAACTTCAGTTGCTAATAGGGATGTAAGGGAAGAGGATTCTAATACTTTGAAGGTATGATTTCCCTCCCTAATATTGCTTATATGGTGGTACAAACGGATTCCACTCGGAAAGAAACGGGTTGTGACGAAGTTTGCCTTCTTTGTGTGTAGAATACTAGCACCACTGGGTGGCTTAGACACTGAGTAACAGTCACTAGCTTCCAGACATGGCGCATAACTCTTGAGGCCTCATTTTCCTTGTTGTGAGGCAGAGATAACCATCTGTCAGTGCTGACTGCTTTCCCCTGAGGTTGTGAGGATCAGCTACTGTGTCTGCCAGGTCTTCGGCAGTGATAAGTTGTGATTCAGAGAATATTAGCTCAGACCATGAGCTTTTCAAAAGTACCCGTTTAAGAACAAATTATGTAAATTTTGTGTATGTGAGAAGAAAATGTACTTCTGAATGTTAGTGGTAGTGAAGAAGGGCCTTGTAAAGAAGGATTGTGTTCAACCCTAGTTGGTTTGGCTTAGTGGATGGAGCGTGGGCCTGCCGATTGAAGGGTCCTGGAAATCAAACAAAAAAAAAATCGATCCCCAGTAGGGAGCATGCAGGAAGCGGCTGGTCAATGGTTCTCTCTCATCATTGTTGTGATCAATGATTTTCTCCCTTTCCTTCCTCTCTGAAATCAGTAAAGATATATTTAAAAAAAAAAAAAAAAGAAGAAGAAGAAGAAAAAGGATTGTGTTTAGCATTGGGGCTGAGTTTCGTAGGCCTGGATACGTGCTGCCTAATAGGACACTCTGCAGTAATGTATACCTTCCGTGATGTGCGCTTGCTACATGATAACTCTAGTCCAGTGGCTGTTGAGCACTTGGCATGTATTAGTGCAAATGAGGAACTAAATTCTTAATTATGTTTAATTTTAATTAATTTAACTTGCTATATGAATAGTCATATGTGGATAGTACTGTATTGGATAGGACAGGTACATAGATCAGGCTCCACATACATATTAAATTATAGTTTGACATAGGTGATAGCCAAAATGGGTATTAAAATGTCATTTGCTAAAGAAAGACCAGAATAAGAAAACTGTTAACAGAAGGTATTTACTGTGGAAAGCATTAACCAGAGTGCAGAAGCTGAGTAGTGGGACTTCTCAGCCAGAAGTGCGGACATGCTGGCCCCAGTGCTTTTGTTTTGCCGTGCCCATCACAGCATTCCCTTTGCAGGACACCTCTTTGTGGCTCTGAAGGCCGGAGCCCTGGCTCTGACACTTTTCTGTCGTGATTCTTATGCATGGCCTTCAGTTTATTCTCCTATAGAATGGATTAAATATCTCTCGTCAAGGTCCTTTCCTCTTCTAACATTCTGGGAACTTAAAAGATAGCTTGTGTGGTGATATAGGGATCAAGATGAGAAGAGGTTCTGTGGCCATTTGTTTTAGCCTGTTCCACAGGAATCTGTCTCCCATCAGCCAGTCAGTAAGTGGACTTCTGAGGGCTGGGAATCTTGGTTTTTGCCCTCACGTTCACTTACTAGCTCTGAAATATTTTCCACTGGAGAAGGATCCAATTTCAGTTTTGTGTATTTCCATTCATTATTAAGAAGTCAAACTATTAGGAAATAAGATATTTAAAAGTATCTAGGATGTAGATACTAAAAAGAACACTAATTTGCAAGCTCATGTTATAATCATTGATGACTTACTTTTCAGGGTAAGTTTGTTCCTGTCATGTTTTATGTAGATGGTTGGGAATTGCCATTATTTAAGAAGAAAAGAGAAGAAGAGCTTGTCATATTTTAATGTCAACATTTGCTGATTTTTACTTCTATTAGAATATCTACCTGCATGAATGTTTTAGTAATTAAACAATTGTCTACATAGAGAACTGGAAGGCTATGAAAAATATTAAAAGTACAGTTGTGTATTTATACCTGGGAAAATACATCGAATGTAGAAAGCCTGATTCATATCTTCACAGATTTTTAAATTTGAGATTACTCAAAAGAATGGGAGATAACAAAGTTTGTTAATATCAACTAGACCCTGTGAATTTCCCCCAGGAAGTACTAAGCATAAAGTATAAATAAAAATTGATTTAGTAATTTATAAGAGAAGAATAGATTGGTTAGTGAACCAAAGTAAAACAAGTAAAAATTTTTTTTACATTATGATTTTTCTTTTGTTTTTTCTTTTGTCCTTTTAATGATTTGGTTGGGAAAGCATTTTGGGAGTGTGGAATAAACAGAACAGAACAAATAAAAAGGCATATAGCATGTAATAAAAAAATAACATTTTAGGAACTTAAAGTGTGTGAAATAGACAGTTTGGGGAAATCTTAGGTTTCTGGGCATTTTACATGTCTGGAAACAAAGCTGTATTTTGCCCTTTTCATTGGCAAAATTAAAATATGTTTTCGGTTCATGTATCTAAACTAACAGACAATTTGTATTATTTAATTTTACAAAGATCCAAGGCATTTGATTATTAATATACTAGAGCCCAGGTGCACAAAATTTGAGCATTTGCGGGGGGGTCCCTAAGCCCGGCCTGCACCCTCTCACAGTCCAGGATTCCTTGGGGGACGTCTGATGGACGGCTTAGGCCCGCTCCCAGCAGTCGGACATCCTTAGCACTGCCGCAGAGGTGGGAGAGGCTCCTGCTACTGCTGCTGTGCTCGCCGGCGATGAGCCCCACTTCCTGCGGAGCTGCGCTTCCCCTGTGGGAGCACACTGACCACCAGGGGGCAGCTCCTGCATTGAGTGTCTGCCCCCCTGGTGGTCAGTACACATCATAGTGACTAGTTGTTCTGCTGTTTGGTTGATTTGCATATTAGCCTTTTATTATATAGGATACTTTCCTAACGATTTACATTTTGTTTCTTAAATAGAGTCCTGTGAAGATAAATCAGATTAGCCTGGATGAAAGTGGAGAACACCTGGGCGTGTGTTCCGAGGATGGCAAGGTACGTGCTGATGTGGTCACCTGGAAACCGTGCTCTGGCACTGGAGTCTCCAAGTGCTTGGAAAAGCACTTCCCTTACTGTATATGTGCATTAAAGAGAAACTTGCTTATTCTTTGTGGACATGGGCTTGCTTCCCATTGCTCATAATTAAAGTAAAATATATTTTTCACAAATGTGCCTTAGGAAAAGTAATTACAAGAATGTCAATAATGTAACTAGTATTAAGCTGATTAACAGCTGTGGCAGGGGAACGTGTCACCTTAATCATTACTGCTATGCCACTTAGACTTCAGTGACTAGTCTGCAGTTCCTGCAAGACAGTAGTTTAATGCCTTTCTGCCATAAATCCACAAAATTGGATTTTGTGGTCATGATTTCTGTGGGCCGGTGGTTTCATTTCACACAAGTTATGAATGTTTCTCTTGAATTATAGAATCTTTTGATAAGCAATCATAGCTTATCAGAAGAATAAAGTATCTTACAGTGGCCACATTAAATAAATATAAAATCAATATATGTACAGTTTCCTAAAAACCTGGCACCCACTTCCTCAATCGAGAACATACATCATTTGTGCTGTATATAACTAACAATTATTAGTGCTTCTTGCTGATGTTGAGCTGTGACATTTAGTGGTTGTGGTGATTGATTTTCCACTTATAAGAATGTCTTTTTTTGTTTTCCAGTCGATGGAAGTCTTTTCTAATGTTGGTTTGCAATGATAAAATTCTAATGCACAATGTGTTTAAGATACTTTTCTAAAATAACAGTTTAAGAAGAAAGTGCATTAAGAATCATTAGAGAACCTTACCTATTCCTGATGGAAGACAGGAGATTTTCTAATCTAATTTTGATTTTTATGTGATCTAAATGCAATGTGCCATTAGGATGAGTAAATTAAAAACAGCGTACTCCGTATAAAAGATTTATACCCATTTGATCTGTTACCAAAAGATAAATGAAGTCTTCTTGACATACAAGAATGCATTTTATGTACCTAAGCCTAATGTTTCTTAGAGTCTTTTGAAATAGTAATTGGAACACAGGTGCTTTTCAAAAAGCACTATCAAATTTTATAGTACCTTCTGAAATTCTGAGATAAACCAGACTGTCAAGAAGAGACTGAGGGAAGAGTTGTTATGTGCAGAAATTGAGAAGAATTATCCGAACTATTGAGACATATTTGTATTTATATATTTGTAAGAAAGGTCATCTTCATTTTGTTTTCTGAATGATGACGAATTCCTTCTGGGTTGTTATCAATTTAATGGAACTAATTTATTGAAAGAGAATATTCAGTTTTTGAATTGAGAAAAATTTTTATTAAGGTAATTCATCTAGGAATGTTTAGGGCTTTAAATTTTGAGCAATTATTATTTTATGTAGCAAATTTCTGGTGAATAATGCAATGACCCTCATATCTCATGGGGTACACTTTTTGACAAACACCTCTGTTTTTCTATTTTAGTAAAATTTAAAACTGCTGTATTTTGGTGTAGACCAATGATACATTTTAAAAAACGCTTTCTCATATATTTTATTAGCATTGGTAGAATTGAAAACAAGTATTTCATGCATTTTTTTATGTAAGCTAGCCTTTACCATGAGTTAGTCATTATTGTGAAAATTGAGTAGCAGTATAGAGTGATCTGGTAAAGTGATTAGTGATGATTAAATAAAGATATTACATAAACTCCAGATATCTAAAGTGAATGCATCTCCTAAGGGCTGTTGTGATTTTTCTTTCTTTAGTGTATTAGGAATCTATCTCTCTATATAAAAGCCTAATATGCAAATTGTCCCCATGGGAGTTCGACCAGGAGACTGATCACTCGCTATGGCATGCGCTGACCACCAGGGAGCGGTGGGGGAGGAAATAAGGCACTGATTGGCCCTGATCACTGGCCTAGGGACCCTACCCATGCATGAATTTCATGCACTGGACCTCTAGTAGTAGATAATTACTTATGTCCTATTTCAAAGATAATCTTAGATATTTGTTTTCAGTTTTGAAGCCATAATTCTAACCATTGTTTAAAATGTTCTCTTTTAATTCAGCTGGTGCTCATTTCTGTCTTTATTCCATGGCTTCTCTGTGATTGAGTTCTAAATTTTGAGATATATCGTGTGTGTGTGTGTGTGTGTGTGTGTGTGTGTGTAGTTTCAGTTTACTGGCATACATTTTTAGGTAACTTTCTGATAAGTGCATATAAGATTTACTCTCTCTGTTACAGATATTTCCTTCATACATAAACTAGAATTAATTTAGTATAGAGTTCTGGGTTGAAATATTTTCTCTCAAAATTTTGGAGATGTTGCTCCCTTTTGTCTGACTTCCTTTTTGTAGACATGTCAGAGGCCAGTCTAGCTTTGTTCTTTCACAAAACCTTTTTAATTTTTCTCTTGTCCTGCCTTGGAGCTCAGACTAATAACACTAGCAACAACAACGACAATAAACGGCCGTTGTAATGGAGTTTGCTAACTTATGTCATGTTTGGGTCTGTTTTCATTAATTTTGTCTGGAACACAGTAAGTTCTTTAGATCCATATTCTGAAGTATTGTTTTCATTTCAGGAAAGTTTACTTCCGTTCTGATTGTGATTATTGCCCCAGTTCCCTTAGTTTTCATTTCTTCAAAGAAACTCAATAATACATGCTTAGGCTGGAGGCAGTGTGGTGCAGAGGCTCAGAGCAGAGCTCAGTACTCCGCCGGCCTGTGTGGCAGCCCAACCCCCGGCCCCTGTGCCGTGCTGGGCATGTTTGCCCTCCCAGCGCCTCCGCTCTCTCAGCTGGGCAGTGGGCACAGTGGGAATCCTGCATGGGAATGTCTCCAGGTGTCAGGTGTATGGTGAGCTCGCCACTGATTAACCATTTTTATTGCTAACCATTCGTTTCTTAACCCATTACCATCTGATCTCTCCCCCTCCCACATTATTCCACCTAAACTTTTCAAGGTGAGCAGGTGAATGGATAAGCACTATTCACGCTTCCTCTCTTTCCTAAGATGTAGGTTGTAAGAAAATGGGTCATATTGTGTGGCACACCCGCCCCCCACCACGTATGTGCTTAGCTTTCTCACTATTTTTATCCTCTCATTCTTTGTCATGGAGAGTTCTACTTGTTTATTCCCTTTGCTGATCTGCTTTTCTTCCAGCATCAACTTTACTTTGTGGAGTAGAGTTTTATTTCATGTTGCATTTTTTTTTATTCTCAAAATCTTTGTCTCTCCCAGTTCTGTTTATATTAGCCTGATATATACAGTAGGACCTCGGGTTATGTCAGAGATCCGTTCCCACGGGGCGAAGCAACATGATTTTCGCTGTAAGTCGGAACCCACCTATATAAGCACCTACGTCACTCACATGGAGCCCATACACGGCAGTAATGAAGTGAAACAGTAAAGAAAAATTTAAAAGGAAGATAACAATTCCTGGCCTTTACTTGTGGTAAATAAATAATAAAAAAACATAAAGCACATATGTCGAAATGATGGAACTTTTTTTTTTAATAAATAAATGGGAGATGGTGACATAACCATGAAACAGCGTACGTCGAGTCCGAGTCCGACGTAACCCGAGGACTGCCTGTAGTTAGTTTTTTAATTTACAACTTCTTATGTGTCTTAGAGTGTCAGGCAGTATGGTCTAATGGTTAAGAGTGGGATTACCTGCCACTGTGTTTTAGCTGTGTGATGTCAACTAAGGTATTCATACCTCTCTGTGCCTCAATCTATTTCCATCTCTATCAAATGGAGATAGTAATAGCGCCTACCTCATTGGTTGTTAGGAGGAATAAATGAGTTAGTATATGTAAATTGTTTGGAAGAGTACCTGGAGCAGAAGAAACATGTGATAATTATTAGCTATTGTCATCCTTGTCATCATCATCACCATCAGTAACATTATTCTGTGTTTCTGCTCTGGATTCATGGGGGTCTTTTCTTCTTCTTATTGAAGTCGCTAAAGAGTTTTCTGGTTTTTCTTTCTTTTCTGATTATAATTAAAACATTTTTTAAAGCATAGTTTTCTCCCTCAAAATTGTTGGAATTTTGTTCTGCAGTATTCTTTTTATAGTCCTGGTGTGTGTTTTTGTTGCTTGTTTATCCATTACAGAATAAGAAGAGCTCTCTCTAAACCTGGGTTAACAAAGGGATTCATGTCTGACGGTTCTTGGCCCTGCATGTTATCATTTTGGGTGTTGTAGAATCACTTCTGAGCTCCATGCAGGGGGCCTGTTAATGAGCTCCATTGCCTCTGACCAGAGGTAATCAATCAGGTAAGGCTTCCGCCCCAGAGTGAAGTGGGAGCCTGTGTTATCACCCCTCCCTGCTCCCTGACACTTCCTGGGTGGAGAAGAGGAAAAGCAGCAATCTCCCTTGTGAGGGTCCCATCACTACCTCCCTCAGTGTAATGACAGTTCTAATTCTTGACCTGTTGTTACTTGGAAGCTGGGGTTTGAGAGCGGCTGTGATAAGGGAAGTACCGATTGGGAGGGCTGTCTGACACTGGCCACCTCACTCACAGTCACTCTATGTCAGATGGTCTGTCACCCAATTCTCTGGTTGGCAAATACATTGAAATCCTTGCTAAAGTGGAGAAGGATACGAAACCTTCCCTACTGTTTCCTGGAGGTAGCTTTTCTTTACTTCAGGCAGCAAAACACACATCTCAGACCTTCTGTGGTTCTTCTATGTCTCTGTGGTTCTGTGGTTAATGAGAAACCCTCTGGGCCTTCGCAGTAGACTAACTATAAGGCCCATTTCTCTGAATTTTCTATTTTTCTTCATTAGGTATTTTGGTGACACATTGGAAGAGGTTGTTGGGGCTGCTGTAGGGGATATAGTTTTCAAAAGAACCCTCTCTATTTTAACCTTTTGTTATTCTTAGATGCGGTCTTCCTAAGAGCTCTCCAGGCTCTCATTTAATGGGATCTTTTCACAGATACGTATGATATTCACTGACAAAATGGCAAAGTAAATAAAGGGGGAAAGAGGAAATGAATGAGAACTGTTTTGAATTTTATTAGTTTAGTAGTGTAACTTGTGACCGATTAGTTTGGGCTGTCACGTAAGTGAAATGAACGAAACACCGAAGGCTTTACAGATCACCCTGCTTGTACTGATAAAGTTTCTGACATTTGTCTTACGAAGTTATATTGTTTTTTTATGCTGGGGAAGATGAGGACAAATGATGAAAATGTTATTCAGTGAAGTGTAGTAATAGAGACTGACCTAAAAGTCTAATCATCTTTGCCGTCTTCAGCGAGCACTCCTGGAGCCCTGGCTATACAGTAGAATTTTTGCTTCTGACTAGTACTCAAGCATAGTGATGAGGGTCAGCCTGTTTGCCAGGAACTTCTGTGATGTGTTCTCTTTTCTGTTTATTCCTTCTCATCACTCTATTATATTTTCAATATCGATTCCTAATTTTAAAAAACATTTTTATTAATTTTTAGAGAGAGAGAAAAGAATTGATGTGAGAGTAAACCAACAATCAGCTGCCTCCTGCACACATCCTCACAGGGGATCTGTCTGCAACCCAGGCGTGTGTTCCAACTGGGAATTGAACCAGCAGCCTTTCGGTGCGTGGGAGTACACCAAACCAACTGAACCACACTGGCCAGGGCTGGATTCATAGTTTTTAAAGGGACATTTATCCCTGGGGATTTGTAATTTAATTTTCACTATAAGATTCATAATCCTAGTATTTACCGTCTCATTTATTGGTACCTCAGTCTTTTTCACCAGGCTTATACATCATTTATTTCCATTGCAAATACTTTTGCCTATAATGAACATCACTTAACTTTTGTTCTTAAAATCACTTTACCTGCTATAGGCAGACGGAAGTTTATCCTTTTGAATTAATAGTCTGCTTCATTTTTCAACCTCTGTCACAGAGTTGCATAATTCAAGTCAATATTCACTTTCACTTTAGTTTGGCAAATATTTCGGACTTTTGAATGTATTTTTTTCCTAGTCTACTTTTCTTACACTTTATATGGAAAAAAAAATATATATATATATGCAAATTTTAGGCTATCTCACATAATGGCATTATGTAAAAAAATAGGGCTTGGGACACTTTTCTTGCTTTTGATCACCTTAGGCAAGTAATTTATTTTTCTGAAGAATTGTCTGTTGCATAGGTGTGACGGTGTTTGTTCTCATACCTGGCAGTGTTGCTATCAGGACCAAGTGAGGCAGAGCAGGACTTTTAGTGCTGGCTGTGTCCCGTCAGTCATGGTCCTTTAAAAATATACTTTCGCCCCAGCAGAAGGCTTCATTTGTCTAGGGTGGAGCCTCGCCATTAGTAACTGTGCAGGGGAGGCAGGGCCGGAACCACCGAGGTGAAGGATGTGGGATCACTGAGAGACATGTGAGCAGCAGTAACAGAAGGTCTGACACAGGATCATGCTGCCGCATTGTTGTACAGAAGGGAAATAGCTATGTTAGAAGAATTTGAACTTCCGTGTCCAGCATGAGTTTATACTGAAGTAACTTCAGTGAGTGGACCACTTATTGATTTACTCCATTAAGATTCAGATGATATAGTAACACCACTACTTTTACCCAAATTTCTTGGATTCTGCTTATCAATTAGGTTAAACTTCCCTTGGGTAAAGTAAAGCTCTGAATGCAATGCTTGTCTTTCCTACTTCTTAATCTCCATTTTATAAGAAGTCTGTTGTATCTTATGCTTAATACATTTATATAAAAATAGTGATTGGATACCCTCTAAGCAATGAGAAGCAAGGTAGTGGTGGGCATACATGTATTGTTATGTTAAGAATACATTCTAACAGGCTACTTCAGGGTAAATCTAATTCCTTCTGTGTTACGTTGTACCATGTGCTATTCTTGGAACCCAAATGACATACTTGGCACAAGGGTATAAAAATAGTAGTCACTAAAAGAATGGCATGTCCTATAGAGTTTAGATTTTAGTGAATAAACTTTTCTCCAAAAATTATAGTGTGTGTAAATTTTTCTCTTTGAACTTGCAACAGTGAACCATGCACAACTTACCAGGATTAAAACAAAAAGAAATAAAAAGTTGGGCAGCTTTTATATCTGTTTAAGAAATTGAATTTGTAATTAAAATCTTTTGACAAAGAAGCCAATAAGATCTAGATGCCCGGCTAGTGAATTCTTACAGAATTTAAAGAAGAAAAATGCCACTTTTATAGAGATTAGAAAAATAGTAAACTCATCCCAAGTGTTGGGGAAAGTTCTGTGCCCCTGATAGCTCCAAGTGATTGAGGGCCCCTGGAATTCTTACGCTCTGCTAGTGAGAGTGGAAATTTATCCAAACCGCTTTGTAAAACCGTTTGGCTGCCTCTGAAACGTGAATAGATGCATAACCTCTGACTCAACAATTTCATTCCTAGTTATATGAATGTCTATGAAAGTGCACCAGAAGATTTGTAAACAGTGTTTATTGCGGCATGATCGTAATGGCTCCAGTCTGGAAACAACCCCAGTGATCGATACATAAATTTCATACATTAAAATACTACACAGCAATGAAAGAAATCAGTTACTGCTGTGTACAACGGGATCGGTAAATCTCACAAAGGAAATGTTAAACGAAAGAAGCCAGTAACATTACTTATGGTTCATGTACATAAAATTCAGACACCGCCACATCCCAACTGGCGATCCTCTTTAGAGTAGCAGTTAGGTTGTGACTGGGAGGGGCGGGAAGGAGCATCTCGGGTTTTCCTTCTTGGTCTGGGTGGTGGTTACAGGTGTATGTTCATTTCCTAAAAGTTGATGAAGCTGTAAATTTATAACTTGGACCCTTTAGCATACGTCTATTCATTTTTTAAAAAAAGTAAACAACTCAGAAAATTGATTAATTATGAATAAAGTGGCCTGGAATGACTTTAAGTAGGCACTGATAAGTAGAAACTTAAACCATACATTTATACAGTCTTGGAATATTCAGTGTAAGATTGTAAGTGAAGTGCAGTTCACCTGATTTCTTCCCACGTTGCCCTGCATGGTTGATTTATATGTGACTCAAAAAAGAAGCTCCTTTTTCCTTTAAGGGAAGTAAAAGAATTCCTGTAGGGATAGCCTATGGGAAGCTCATAAAAGAATACTAATGACCTATTCATATGTGTTTTATTTTTTTAAATTGGCATCATTAATAAAAAAATGTGTAGTGAGTAAAGGGAACTCTATCCATGAGATGCTTAGAAGAGCTTAATTGTGGTGGTGTCTTCTCACCCTATTAGAATTGTTTTCATTGGATGTGGAATAGAGACCAGAAGGACCTTCGATTATTAAATGTTTTACTTTGTTGCTGTCATGGTGAAATTACAGGATCTATTTCCTTTTTAGGTGCAAGTGTTTGGACTGTATTCTGGAGAAGAATTTCATGAGACCTTTGACTGTCCCATTAAAGTAAGTATTCAGTAAATTTTAATTTTTCTAAGGGTTTTCTTAATGAAGGCCATAGGATTACAATACTGTGAGTGCTACCAATTTTTTAGTAGGTTTGTTAATAAGCATCTATTAAACACAATGTACTATAGAAACTATTCAGTCCTTTAAAGGAGTACAAGATGTATATTATATGATTGTGATCTCAGGAATATTCTTGTAGTGGGTGAGATCTCTCTCTCTCTCTCTCTCTCTCACACACACACACACACACACACACACCTGCGCTTAAAGACTCGGTTGGTGAAAACAATATGAAGAAGTCCAAAGCTGAGAGAAAAGTTACCTTTAGAGTAATTAAAGACTCAGTTGGTGAAAACAATATGAAGTCCAAAGCTGAGAGAAAAGTTACCTTTAGCTGTTCTTGTTAGTGACGTTTTTAGATGGAATGATGTTTGGGCTTTAATGAATGGATAGGGCAGATGGAGAATTTGGTTTTCCACGTGGAAGAACAAAATAATAGAAACAGAAAGGCCAGAAAGTTTAAATTGTGTCCGGGAAGTGGCAAATAGTCTAGTGCAGATAGTGCGTCCATAAAATACTGACTCAGCAGGATTGCTGTATATCCAGGCTAAGGAATTTGGGCTCCATCCGTTAGATAAGGAGAAATTATTGAATGTTTAAGAACAAAGACATGGCACAAACTGAGGTGAGCTTAAGGAAAAGTAGTATGGCAGCTATATGCAGTATAAACTTGGAGGCTGATAGCCACAAGGCAGGAAGACCAATTTCAGATAAACAGTTATGTTAGTTAAAGTGATTATTGTAGTTGTTAGAGGAAGAGGTCATGTATTTTTCTCACTTGCTTATTCTAACATCTATGGATTGACAGGTAACGAGGAGGAAGGACCAGATGGTGTTTGAGAAAGCCAAATCTGTCCAAATAGAGGGTGACTGGGGGAGAGTGACTGGGAACGAGACAGGTTAGAGGGCTAATGCAGTGCTCCAGGCGGGGCGGGGCAGGATCTCAGTAAAAAGAGCAATAGTGAGCGCAGCAAACCTCAGAGATACTGAGGATCCAGTTCCAGGCCACTGCAAAAAGGCGAGGATCGCAGTAAAGCGGGTCATTCTCTTTTTGCTGGTGGAGCATCTTGACTTCAGTTTGTTAAAACACAGCACCTGTGAAGCTTGATAATGTGAAGAGCAATAAAATGAGATATGCCTGTATTCAAGATGGAGTAGAAGAGATGAATTTGGAAAGCCTTTACAGCGGTTCTCAACCTGTGGGTCGCAACCCTTTTGGCGGTCGAACGACCCTTTCACAGGGGTCACCTAAGACCATCCTGCGTACCAGATATTTACATTATGATTCATAACAGTAGCAACATGACAATTATGAAGTAGCAACGAAAATAATTTTATGGTTGGGTTACAACATGAGGAACTGTATTTAAAGGGCCAGAAGGTTGAGAACCACTGCTTTAGGAGGTAGACCTAACAAACCTTGGTAATGGATTTGATGAGGGTGATGAAAGATGAAGGAGGTGAGGGGAATGCCATCTTGAAATACGGGGTGATTTGAGTAAGGACGTTGCTGATTTGGTTTTGAGATTAGATAACTGTAGCACATCTTTTAGGAATATTATGGAGGTTTTGGAAACATGAGTGAGGGACTCAGGATAGAGAGTGGCCCTAAAAACACAAAGTTGATAACCAGAGTTGAGTACGATGAAACCACTTTGAAGGGCATTATCTAGTTAAAGGTTAAAGAGTGAGCAGAGAACACATGATGAAATTTTAGAACATCTAAGTTAAAGGTTCAGGCAGTGGGGGGGTAGGAGGGGAGGTGAATTACAGCAGGGATCTAAGAAGCATCAGAGGGAACAGAGGAGATACAGAATAAGAACATAAAATGTATTTAATTGAAGATGCATGAAAGTATAATTGTGTGGATTTTTCTAATGCTTGGAAATTTTTTGTACTAAGTTAGAAACCCCCCTGAAATGTATTGGTGATTTTGTGGATTTGGGGATAAGAAGGCGCCAGGTAGAGTATGTGCCGGCTTACAGCCAAGAAGGGAGCCCATAGTCCTGCACTGAGTGGTGCCACAGGCCTTCAGAAGGCCACTGGCAAACGACGTGGGAAGTGATGGGGTGGAGCAGCCTGGGGAGAAACCTGTGTAAGGGGTTAGAAGGAGATTGGCTGAGTGGAAACAGAATGAGAACCAGGGGGACAGGAACTGAGGGTGGGGGTGAAAGGGAAGGTCCCGAACGGTTAGCTCCATGACTCTCTGGTCTTGCGGCTTTTTGGTGTAAGTACACTCGGTGTCTGAGGCTGCGCGGCCCTACCTGTTCCGCTTGGTGCCTTCAGCCATTGGAAGGCATCCTGGGCAAGGAAGGAGCTAGTTGGGTTCTTTCTCTGGGACCCTTCTGTGAATCATATTCAGTTGCAAACATTCTTGACACCTTGATTGACCTACCTTGTACCCTGTAAGGAGGGAGACTCCTCACTCATCCAGAAACTAGAACTAATTCACTCTCAACTTTTAGCTTTGACCTGCTTCATAGAAGAAATATTTTTACAGAAGCACAAAACTCAGACATCCTCAATTGTTGCAGAATATTACCTGAATAGATTACTTCCTGCCAATATATAAGGATGATTTTTAGATCATGCTGCCTCTAATTATAGCGTTTATTCTGTGCCTTAACCATGACTCCTAACCTGGCATCGGTTCTTGTTCCCTAGATCATCGCCGTGCACCCACACTTCGTGAGGTCCAGCTGCAAGCAGTTTGTGACTGGAGGGAAGAAGGTAAATGCTGTGTCTGCCATCACATGCAGTCTTTGAGGGGTTGCTCTTGAATATATCGTCAACATTTTTAATGTTTGTTCATTAGGAGAAATTTTGAGAAATAACAGTGTAATGAAATCATAAGACCATCATGCCTTGGGGAGGTGTGGCTCAGTGTTTCCCACTGGCATTCCCGTGGAGTAGCTTCAGAGCAGGAGAAAAAGAGACAAGTTGTTACTCAAACTACCTTCTAACACTTTGAAATATTGTCTCTCCCACACAAAAAGGGGTAGAGGTGGCATTAAAAAAATAACAAAATCAGTTAAACTAGTTTTTTTTTTCCCTTTGTAGAAAATCTCTTGCAGGCCTTGATAAAGTTTTAGAACAATTATGGCTATTTTTACTGACATGTTCCTCACATATTTTATTATCTTAGCGCTATTTTAAAAAGAGGAGAGTAAAATAATCCTTTTTTGCATTTATATGTTTGTTTATAGGTATAGTAAATTGTAAAACAGTACTTCTGTTTTAGAATGTTAATTTTTTTTTTAATTTTCATTAACCAATGGTATTTTTTAAAACCATCTTTATAACAAAATGCAACTATTGTGCTGGCACTCCGAACATTATTTCATATTCAGTTTAGAACTTGGTGAAAGGAGGTGGTCTGTGGTCTGCAGTGCATAGCTAGGGAATGGCTACTTTGAGGCTCAGACAAAGAATGTTTTCTAATGGTTTATGACAGTTACCTGTCTTTTTTCCTTGTTCTGCTGCTTCACAGAATGATAGTGTTACCAAGCAAGGGCCGGCCTCCTGATGCACGTAGGAACCAAAACTCGGCACCGCTCAAATCTGCCCCCCCAATCTGGGGTGTGGACAGTATTAAGGGTGAGGGAGAGCAGGGTGGCAGGTGGGAGTGCTAGGGAGCACGTCTGGTTTTGGTGTTATATTTAGGAAGTCATTGCCTGATCTAAGGATCATGACTATTTATGCCTGTGTTTTCTTCTAGAAGTTTCATAGTTTTAACTCTTAAATTTAGCCCTAGAATCCACTTCGAGTTAATTTTTTCGTATGGTATAAGGTAAGAGTTCAAAGTCATTCCTTTGCATAGGGCCATTTGTAGAAAACATTGGTTGTTTTGTTTTTGTTTTTTCAACATTGGCTTGGCCCCTTTGTCAAAAATAAGTTAGCCATAAATTTCTGGACTTTCAGTTCTGTTGATCTGTGTATCAGTTCTTGTACCAGTACCTCTTTTAGGTTTAAGAGCCACTAATTTTGCTATAATTACTTAAGGGATGACCAACAAATTAAGTCCTCTTCAGGCATTTTGATTTTGAGTTCTTTCCCTTTAAAAAGCCATGATAATGTCTCCTACTTATGTTAGACTAGAGGCTTAAGAAACATTGTCTGTAAATGTATCCTCTATTAGAGACTTCAACATAAAGTATTGACTGATTTATTTGGATTCATTAAAGTTTATTATGTAAATATGTATTTAGTTAATAAAAAGTAGTGTATATTCAATAAACCACAGTGACCTCTTTGTATACAGTTAAATAACTAGAGATTTCCAAAATGTACAGCAGTTTGGTGAAGCTTGCCGAAATCGCCAAAGAAAGTCCTTCCTTCTCTTCTGTATGTGTATGTACTTTTTAAAGAGCACTCTAACTGTGTAGTATTGCCATTAGTGTGTTTGGTTTGTTTTAAAATAGAAAAAGAGCTTTTAATTAAGAAACGGGTAGTATTGTAAAATGATTCTTTTCATCTTGAAGTGTTAGCAAATTTTTAAGAGGAGAAGTGTTTGTTTGTTTGTTTGTTTTTTTCTTTTTTCAAATTTTATTTTTTATTACAAAGGGTATTACATATGTGTCCATTTTTTTCCCCGCCCTAGACAGTCCCCTAGCCTCCCCTATTCCCCAGTGTCTTATTGTTTGTTTGTTTTTTAAATAACCAATCACAACATTTTAGACCTTAGAAAAATGAGGAAAGCAAAGCTTTACATTGGCCCAGTCACAATACCACTCAATCCAACTTCGTCTAGCGCAGTGATCGGCAAACTCATTAGTCAACAGAGCCAAATATCAACAGTACAACGATTCAACTTTCTTTTGAGAGCCAAATTTTTAAAATTTAAACTATATAGGTAGGTACATTGTTATTAACTTAATTAGGCTACTCCTAAGCTGGCCTTTGCTAAAAACATCCTCAATCTGATTGAAGTACGTTCGCTGAGGTCGACCCCTTCCAACTCTCCCATCCACATTCATCTTGTATACTTGTTTTGTCTATCTCCTTTCGTTCATCCTCTCTGTATGTCCAAACCATCTCAACATACCTTTCTCAATCCTCGACACTACATCTTCTTTCACTCCACAACATTCCCTAAAATTAACTTAATAAACTTTACTTAAAGTACTGTAGGTGCGCCCCTGTACATGGTATTTTGTGGAAGAGCCACACTCAAGGGGCCAAAGGGCTGCATGTGGCTCGCGAGCCGCGGTTTGCTGACCACTGGTCTAGCGCCATGAGCTAAGCAGAACAGTTTGAAGAATCCAACATTTAGCAAATTGTGGTAACCTTGCAATGATTGTATATTGCAGATATCAAGCCCTCTCAGTTTAGAGCAGATGGCAGACAATGGGAGGAAAAGAAAGACAAATATCATGTAACTGAGAGGTTATGACCTTCTGCCTTTAAGAAATAATTTAATCTTCAAAAAAAAAATTAGGGCAAAGACCAGACAGATGAAGGTTTAATGTGGAATAAAGCATTTTTAACCCTTAAGAACACTGATTTTCCCTAGACTGACAGCCAAATGAATCTTGAAATTATATGCCAACTCCTGTTAATAGTGAAAGTGGCATGGAGACTAGAAAAGTGAAACATGAAAAATAGAAATCCCACAGTGAGATATTCAGGATATATTTCATAATGATATTTGAAAGAATGCCTAACTTATTTTAGTTGTTTTGATTTTATTAAAAATTTCTAGTCCTTAAAAACATTATTAAAAGTAATTAGAACATTTCAGAATAACTCTGCAAAAGAACAGTGTAGCAGAAAAAACCTGATACTACAGTTTGACACATTTTTTGATATTTCCTTTAAAGATTCCAGCTTCTTAGGTCTTTAGAGATACTCCATATCCACCAGGGACTAGGAAGAGGATGCTATAGTTCTGTGTGGCATAAACTTTTGTTTTAGGCTTTCAAGGTAACTTCTTAGTAGTTGAATGGCATAGCTAGATTCATGGACTCCCCTGCCTGACACATGAGCATATAAAAAGCTTATTCTAAATTCTGTTTTGTTTCTATGTTGGGGCAGGGGGAGGGGAGGAAAATAAAAAGCACATCTCTCAAAAGGCCATTGGAGAGAGCTTTCCAATGTATAAACCGATGGATTTTTTAAAAAGTATAACCACCTTGTGTAGCAAGAATTCTAATACATGAGCATAGCAATGAGGTTTCTCTTTTAGAAACAAATCTGTCAGGCAGGTCTTGTCTGGATTATCTTTAATTGCACAGATTTTTCTGTTAGCAAATAAACTTTGGCTTCCTATGATCTTTACCTCTGAACTCTGAAATGCATTTCATAATAACTGGTTCTACTATTTGACAAATTATTAAATTGTCTCAGTGCTGTTAGCCGCAGAGTTCATTTTTAGAAACGAGGTAGTCAGCTGTTTGGCATTGTGGTGGGGTAGAATGAGGGGGGTGGCTGCAGGGACAAGTTGCTTTGTAAGCTGGAAATTGTCACTCAGCAGATGAGGAAAGGACCCGTGTGAATGAAATGAGGAAAAGCGTCTCACTGTTCGCAGCTGAAGGCTGGTGGCAAATTTTACCTGAAGGACAAAGGCGGTAGCATCAACTAGCTTCTGTAAGTTTCCAATGGTGATTCGCAGCAGCAAATTGCATTTTGAATCTTTTTTTTTTTTTTGGAAGAGGATTCAATAGAGCAGCTTTTTGTAAGAACACAAATCTTTTTAGGTTTCAGATGGCCCAGTGAACCGCTGTGACCACTAAACACAGGAGTGTAGAGGTGTTTCCATGTGTGTTTGCTGATCTCCTCGTCTGATTGGGACTGGAGGTCTTGGCGTCAAAAGGGATTTGGCATAAGTTATCCCCCTTGGTCTGCTGTCCAGTGGGTCTCCAGGAAGATGCTTCTGCAAGTGGTCAGATGCTTGATCTTAGGCAGTCTTCTACATGCAAACTGTTCTCACACATTACTACACAGGCAACCATCAGTTTTATGTCCTAGTGGTTGCATGTTGAACTGTTGTAAATAAATACCTTAATTTCTACTAGGTATATGCTATAAATCGTCATTCCATTCCTAGAAATTCATTTCATGCTTTGAACATACCAAAATGTATTTAAAAAACCATCAATTATTAGGAGGTAAAACACAAATACAATGGCCACAATCATTTTATGTATGTAAAACCAAGTTGTAAAATAGCTATATTATAAAAGTATATATATTTATGTGCTAAACTGGCTGAAGCTAAAAACAGAAATCTAGTGTTTAAAATAGAAATCATTTTTAGTCTCAAAAATAGGTGTTCATTTCTTTCAAAATTTAGTTTTTTTGTCTCAAGTATTAATTACTTTTCCATGTCAGTATGTAGGACTCCCAAAGTCTTTGAGATGGATCCATGGTAACTTCATTATCCTCAGTGATCCTCCTAGTTTCATGTCCATCAAAAGCCTGTTGAGAATTGAAGCCTTTTTTTTCTTCAATGAGTTCAACTAACTTTTCCTTTTGTAATGTCTCCATATGGATTGCAGCGACCCCCCTGCCACGACCACCCCCACACACACCCCAACTTCTGATGTTAAGCCTCATATCTTCCTAGAGCCATCAAACTGCCTTTGCTGCTGCTGAAAACACTTCGCTTTGCATGTGGAGAGTGCTGTGATTGGGCTTAAGTATTTTGAGTAGCAAATGACTGTGCAAGAATCATTGCCTAGTTCAGAATGCTTGTCCTGTTTCCTGGAGTTTAATACCAGTTGATTGGGAGG